TATTATTTTTTTTAAAAAACAAAAAACAATTTTAATATGCTTATATATTTTAATTTCTATTTTAAAAAAAACAAAACAAAAAAACAATTTTTTAACGCTATTACGTGTTCATGAGTTTATTTTCCATTTTTTATCCGCCGACATTGTGTTTTTACGCACATACGAGTGTATTTTCGACATGCACTTACATTTTCTTTTTTCTTTTCCAGGACGGCTGGAAAAGAACGATGACGTTTATGAGGATCCGAAATTTTCATTGTACATTTTCTTTTTTTACTATGTTGTACCTCCGTCCCATATAGTAAGGAAAGACGACCAGACGCTGCTACACTTAGTAAGCTATCAGAAAAGTGTTTACCAACGACAAAGTCGTTGGGTTTAAACTTCTGGCTGGCCACGTCTTAGGGACATCACTGCCCCACTAGGGGGGAGTGATCTGTAGCGGTAAATAAATCCCTAAAATAAATAGCTCTGTAAGTTTTCGACATTGGATGCTGACCATATGTTTTAGTGGACTCATCTAGCTGAAGGCGCTCGGTCAGGCATCCGCACCAGATCACGTGTGGTAACGCCGTGCTCAACATCAATCGCAATCGCTAGTCAGATTAGATCAGAGAATTCCGATATATTGGTCATCGCCAAATATACTCTTCCGATCTCCTCGACTCTGTCTTTTGATTTCTCTGGGTGGGAACGAAATACATTAGGTGTTACTGGTAGAAGCGTTGTCAAACACTGAATACCTGTGACATCATCACTGTGAATCATTTTACCAAGATTCTTGAATTGTTGATTAGTGATCAGCAGTTAGAATTTAGCAGCTCGGGAATCGACATACGAATAATGTTCATTCTCTTTAACGCTTATTGCCAACCCTCACGATGTCTTTCATAATACTTTTTTGTAACTTGTGCAGCGAAAGGTCGTAGGCTTTTCATGAAAGCGCCTGAATAGGCTATGCGATTAATGGACATAATGATAAGTTAAAACAAGTGAAAAAACAGATGACTAGTTGAAATAATTAGATGGCAGAAACAGGTAGTCCAGATATTCAAGCAGGCCTCCAGAGAGTTTGTGGCGGATCTTCTTTATATCTAAAGGCGAGATGCAAGTTAGTGACATGTCATACCCAAGTACGCGGTGCAAGTCTAGTGTAGCTGTAGGAAGATAAGAGTAGGATGCAGTGTGTCTATGAAACATCACATTATTCGCTTTAGTGACGGATTTAGATCTTTTGCAAATGCCTTAGACATCAGAAATTATATGTTTTTTAGATGTCCTGGACATAATTTGAAGTCATGTCAATATAAGATTTACATCAAGTGGACAGCCGCTGTTATAAATTAACTTATTAGATATAAATATACGGTCGGATCAAATGCAGTGCATGTTCAGAGCTAATATATGAACGTTAATAAACGGAAAGAGGTGTACAGCATGGAAACTAGCGGACTTAATGTATGACGTTCAGTCCCAAGATGAGGTATTAAATTAATAGAAACCATATCAGAAATGAAGTATTTTTCGCTAATAAATGTTGTTTAATTTGGGGGAATAACCAGAGGGCAAACAAAATAAAACCACGTGAAAAATGTTAAGAACTTCAAGGTTCGCGCGGGTTCGAATAATCACAGGAAGCCAGCAAATACCCACGGTTCATGGAGTGTGTGAGCTTATGGATGGTAGTTCATGTGAATCCTACAAACGCAATGTACAAGAGTGGCTGTGAACTTCGGAAATTGAGACAACTCATCTGAGGTCTTTTAGGCCCGATATGGCTCGAAAAACGATATTTTCAATCAAATAAGATGTTATGAAGGTCGATTTAGATCAGCAAGGCAACATCAGAAAGTTCCAAACAAACTGACATTAGTGTCGGTTGACATTCATCAGCAACCCATCATACTGAACACAGAGATCACCGTCTCGCTAATGGAACATACCACACAGGTAAAAAACCTACAGCATCCAATCAGCGCGGAACTGGCCATTATGCTTTAAACAATAATCTGCTTAAAAACTACTGTTGAGGAGCACCAGGCGGTAAGACAAACCGTCGAGTGCCTCCATAACAATGTAAGAGGACTAGGTGGCAAACTAGGAGAAATTAGGAACACGTTCATTCACTTAGACCTGAAGGTCATAGTCCTCACTGAAACAAGGCTATCGTCCGACATCATGGACGAAGTAAGCTCATAGGGCATGACAATTCCAGAGACGATGAGCTAAACAAAACAGGAATTGGAGTAGCCACTTCAAAGGCATAGCACAACACAGTACCGAATTAATTGAGTTGACAGAATCATACTGGTGTTAATTCAACGTTAACGAGATGGAGTACTTGTTTGGAGAAACATAACGGCTTTCCCACAGTCCATAACACCCCAGAAGACGAGATAATCCGTGGGATACTGAAGTCACCATATCTGGGGGTTGAACAAATACTATTAGCTGGAGACTTCAACACCCCATCTCTGGATCTCGGTAGACAGGATGTGACCGTCACGGGGTGGCTCCATTAGCGTTTTGTTACAGCTATCAGAGGCTCAGAACTGAGTGAACATGTGGCTGGGGTTACAAGAGAGGACAGAGAAGGAAAACCCCAAACCTGGATTATTTACTGGTAAATGTTCAGCTTCTAGTTGAGTATGACTGTCTGTAACAACTTAGATTGATTGGCTAAAAGTTGACAACAAACATCCAAATAAATGTTGGAACATCATAACTCGTTCACTTCCTTATTTTGTATGAGCATTATATTTCCTATGATCTAATATTGAACGTTGAGGTGCTTTGTGTGTTTGTAAAGATACCTTCCAGCCCCATTGGACCGCCCACGCTCTAAATAAAGACCTATTCTCTAATAGTCTGGTTTTTTCTGTCTGTAGAACAAGGGGTACCCACAGGCACAAAATGTCTATGTCCATGTACCAACAGGAAGAAGTAGCTACTGCACAGACATGCTTAGCTTGGTATCGAATGAAATACTTTGGAAGAACGAGGATTTTTCGCACATAATGTACACCAGACCAGACTAAACAATGATGAAGGGGCATTTTTGACACTGTCTATAGACACGAACGTAGCGGAGGCTAACAGCAGATGACCACTGGCAGGTAGTGATGGAAATCATCTGGAATGCAGCTCGACAAAATGTACTTCAGGGTAAGCATACAGTCGGAAAGCGAACATCTTGGGTTAAAATAGGCATGGAATACTTCTACAGGTCAAGCGAAAAGTATGGCGCAAGTGGGAGTTCTTCTTGAAAGGATCTGGTCCCAGCACTCACTTAGGATTGGAAAAAGGAAGTAAAACCAGATTCCTAAGCAACAATGGATGTCTTCAGGCCATCTGGTAAACAAAATGCGAGCCAACTCCAAATATCTCTTCAGATTTATGATCAGAAGAAAGTCCATCAAACAAGGGATATGTACTATAAAAGGTTCAAATGACAAAGACCTCACTCACTTAGAGGTGTGAGAGATCTTCAGTGCCAACTTCGTAAATCGTTTAATTCGGTAGTCCGCTATTACTGAATGTAGTAAAACACAATGCCCAGGATTCATTAGAATAGGATAGTATTCAGCTTACGATCCTGAAAAAGTGTGCAGAAGTCACAAGCATACCGGTGTGTGACCTGCTCAGGCGCTCGTTAGATTCTCACAGACTGCCAAGAGAATGGAAGTAGACCACTCTCTTCAATCTTCAGAGGGGGAGATGAAAATACCAAGCCTGTTACAGGCCAGTCGCATCGCTCTCAGTGTTGTCGAAGCTAATCCAAGGACTGGCCATTTAACGTGTGATAGAATACATAAATGAAAACAACATCCTCTATGAAGTTCAAGACAGGTTTAGGAAACGTAGGTCATGTGCGTCCGATGACTTCACAGCATGGGTGAGGTAAACGAACTGCTGGGACCATAAAATGTCGATCCATGTAATATTCCTCGACTTCATAAAAGCCTTTGACACTGTACTTCATATACTTCTCACAAAGAAGGTTGCAAAGGCGGGTTTCATCGACCCAATTTTATTTTGGCTCCGAAATCACCTAGAGAACTGAGGTAAATAAAATGCACACATAATGGAAGTTCGAAGACAACTTAGCGCAATCACCCTAGAGTTGTTCCTAACATGACCACAATTTCAAGTCCACAAATTCTTTGCGCCATTTCTCTTCAAAAGAGATATGAATCCATTAGGCCGAGTACAGAGACGGGCAACTAAGTGGGTGATAGGGCTGAAACATAAATCTAATGAGGACAAACTCCAGCATTCGGAATCATTCTTACGAGCTACAGGAAAACAAAAGGTGATCTGTTAAAGGCATGCAACAGATTAAGTACACTGAACCATCCAAACACGAGCATATAGCCAGAACACCATCACCATGCTCCTCAAGGCAACCCTCTGACGATTGCACTTCAAAGAGTAAATATCCAGATACGCACGTACCCACGCGTGGATTATCATCCTCTCCTCAAACCAGTTGTTTCTAATGTATATCTCATAAATTACTGAAATTATCACTACTACAACACCGGCAACTACTTCCCATCTCTCCCCGATTCTTTCTTACCCTTTTAACTCCGTCTTCTTACACATTACCAATGGAGTAGATTATTTAATTATTCTTGAAACAGTTGAATCACCATTGTATTATCTTTACATTACAACCAACCAAACTTCTGACTGGTAATGCAGTGACTTCTGGTATCCAGAACCCCTTCTGCTCTAAGATAAACTCACTCGAATTACAGAATATACAAATCCAGAGGAAGCTACCACATTGGCTCGAATGAATGCAGTTGAGTGGCTAGACCAATACCCATATGACGCTGTCAAATAGATGGAACCGTATTAAAGCAACATGAAGTAAGTGCAAACAAATCAGTCAATTTTATATATACTCATAACAAAAGCATTGGACATTGGATTGAATACCGAACTAATCACTTTTTACCCTAACAACGAAATGGTGCAGTTTCAAAGATTTTAAGATGCCCGAGGCAACACAAATGAAGATTGAGGAGAATACAGTTGTATTCAATCAAACTAAAAAGGAAGCCTTTACTCTGTGTCAACATTTTACAGAAATTGCTAAGTACCTCAAATCCTCTTGGAAGGTTGTTGTGTAAGTAGTTTGCCTTGTTTTTTTCATAACTATTGTCTTGTAGAAATAAAGATGACATTACGAACGAACGTCTTAGCATTGTCAAGTTGTTCGTAATATCTGGACCTACAGAAAAGTTTAGTGCTGCAGAGTTTAATTCTATTAAAAAATATCTTGAGACTGGTGGATCTTTGCTTGTCCTTATGGGTGAGAACGGTGAGGCAAAATATACTACAAACATAAACTTCTTATTGGAGCAGTTTGGGGTCATGGTTAACAGTGGTAAGCTGATTGGTGAAATCTTTAATAGCAGATACCGTCCTGCGAACGTCATATTTTAAATATTATCATCCTAAAGAAGCATTGATCCCGAATGGAGTACTGAATAGGTATTTTTAAACATATTTTTATTGACCATATAGAGGAATAGCGGAAGTCTTGGAAAAAAAGTCCATATCAGCTACGCAAATGGACTTATCACATAAACAGGCCTTACAATTCTTATATCCTTATGGAGCTTCTCTCAATGTTGCCAAACCTGCAGTTGCTCTACTGTCAACTGGAAGTGTTGCGTTTCCACTTAATAGACCCGTTTGTGCCGTTTACAAATCCCTCGTGAGTATCTGCTTCAAAACTTATTTCTTAGTCACCTAACGGTGGGACTTTAGCTGTTGTTGGGAGCGCAGCCATGTTCTCTGACCCATATATAAACAAAGAAGACAATTTTAAAATATTCGAGTTTTTATTCAAATACCTTACAGAAGAATCCGTCACGCTAAACTCCATAGATTCCGAAGAACCAGAAATTGAAACATACTACCAAGTCCCTGATATTATAAGCCTATCGAGTAATCTAATGTCTTGTTTACAAGAAAGTGATGAACTTCCACAGAATGTCAAAAATTACTTTGATCAAGGTTTGTTTTGTATGGACACAAGACTCGTTCCGAAAGCTATTCAGTAAGTTTTCAAGTCTACAAATTTAAACTTGCAGAAAATTTATGTTGACATCATTTTATGTTTGTTCAAAGATCTTGCAAATATTTATAACAAGATGAATTCTTAGATTACACCAGTCTCATACACTGGGTGTGTTTCAACATTATGTAACCGAAAGATTGGAAAAAATGTGATTTTATCATGTTAAGCCGATGAAATGAAACAGATTTCCACATAACGTCAGTCGTTTGGGCTACAAGTAGTTACTTTACGTGGTTATATTTTGGAACAAAAGACTTATTTACACACAGATATTATTTCTTAATCCAAAAGCTGTATCTATAAAATTGGATACGGTAAGTACAACATTTAGAGATGAAATCCTTTTATCTGTCTAATAACCAGTTGTTTTAAGCAATTACGCACATTCCTAATCTTTTTTCATCTTTAAAGGGCTTATGAAAAACTCCGTGTGAAGCACGAACCCTTAAGTTTAATTTCACCTCAGTTTGAAACTCCTTTACCTCCAGTTCAACCTGCAGTAAGTCATGTATCTTTAAAATACCACTCCTTATATTTTGTTCTGTGAGTGGAGAAATTTGCTTTATGATGTTTGTTTACATATATGAATCCCAATTTGAGACAAAACATTTTAACCTATCTGGTGTCTAGCTTCATTCCATTCAGTAAGATCTGGTTAAAATAATCTTATAAGAAACTTATATTCATAATTGTATCGATAAAGTAAAAATGTACGACTAACAATAACTACCCTTGATTCTAATATAAAATAAAGGTTTACCAAACTACTGATTGTTAACTTGATATATGTAAAAGCCACGAACTCTCTGAGAAAATTCTACGAGATTTCAAATATCACCGATGGTCTTGGCACTATTGCAAAGCTACTACAATACAATCCAAAAGCTATGATTCTTCGATTTCCATGCATTTGTTGTTTGAAATCTAAAACTTACTTTTCATATATTTAAGTGTTTAAGACTGTCGATCAACTTTCTCTTTCTTGGTAGTTATGTTTAAAAACTTAGTTTTTTTCAATTCGTACAAATAAATAGAAATACATAGAACCAACAAAATATTCTAGTAGGAATAAATACGAGGCAGATAGTCAAAAGTAAATGAATGTTAAGAGAATTCAACTACTGAATTTCACCGGACGAGTTCTACATTGAAGTAAGGACTACAAGACCAGATGATTTAAGGCTAAGTTTACAAAATATGTAGTGTTTATGTTGTCAGGTGTAGTTCTCGAAAATAGGAACAATTTAGTCTCCCCCTAGCTTTTAATGAATTTTGTTTAGTCAGCTTATTAAATGAAATCAAGTTCTAAAACAAATTTTCCAGATATTCGACAAATAAAATTTTTTCTACACACAAAAACTAGTAAAATAGCCCCATAGAATTTATTACTCTGAGTTAACATTTTTGAGTTTAATAGTGCTCGAGTATCTTTCAGCGACCAGCAATCTAGTAGTCTTTTTTATGGTAATTTAAAGTTTACCATGAATCTAGGCGTGAATATACATGCCATCACCGATGTTTAATCATTTTATTTCACATATTTCTATGATTTAAAGGACAACTGAACTTAAACAGAAAAACCCTATCAGGCTTTAAACGTATCAGTCAATCACATGCAATGTTTTAAGGTCACCTTTGGTGGTATTAACTCACTACTTGTTGATATTTTTGCCTAGAAAAGCCATTTTGGTGTTTTTTTCACTAAATAATCCAAATGTAGTTGTTTTAAAAACTTGATGACAAAAGCCCTATAATTTTAAAGCTACCGACGACGAATTTTGTTTTCATTTAAGTCATCCAATAGAATATTTTTAAGCGTTTTTATAAGAACGTGTCTCTCTCGTTTACATCACGAAAAAACCTAGGTTAATCAACTGCTGAGAACCAGACTGTACTGGATAGTTGTTTCGTCGCAGTATGAGGCTGTCCACTTAGACAGAATCCAACACAAATCTTTGTTTGGTGCCTAGGAAGTAGTGCGGACGTGCTTCATGGGATAATGTGTGTGGTCGATGGGGATGTGAATAATCCTTCATTCCGCCAAATAATTGGACTACGGAAGAGTTTATTAAACAATTTAGTGATATTATTGGCGTGTCATGTCAGGGCAGAAAGGTGGACTGTAGTTGTGCTGTTTTGTAAATCATGGGATATCTGAGTCTTTGATCTGTGCACTGCGTATAAGTAGATAACGTGTCCTTACGGTAATCGAGATCTTTACCTGTACTGTGTACTTTGCGTATGCACATAACGTTTACTAGCTAACTCTTTCCTTTTCAAAAGTCTGTACACTCTTCGTATTCAAAACGTGGATAAAAATAGCGTGCATATACTTTTAGGTGTACAGGTTTGCAAGGCACGTTAGGCGCAATGCCAGAACGATGCCCATAAGCCGTAACTTACAAGTTGAAGAACGAGGGTCAACATGATATATATTTGTGGCATGAGACTGAGAGTATTATGTTGTCAACAGATAACTCTCTGTCATGTTAGGAAGATGCAAGCTCAGTCAGCCATCTATAACGTAGGACCAGGCACATATGTGCATCGGTTCAAGTTGCTATACCTCATTGACACAACGAGATGGACACCGAATTCATATAAGTAGTTAATTCAGAGGTGGTAATATATAAAAGAAAGATTGCAATAAGGATATTGTACAGGAAGAAAGAATTAGTTCATAGGAAGAAAGATATGAAGTGATTTTAATCTCTTAGTTTAAGGGAAGACAGAGAGTGTATACACCGACGCCATTGTGATCGATTCTGAGCCATTCCACCCACAGTCTCCAACAATTGGTTACGATAGTCACGCGGACCCCAACAAAGTAGTCTGCATCTCCCAACATGGCTCAGACTAGAAGTTAGTGACTTCAAGCACTGATTCCACGTTTTGGTTTGGCCGCCCCTAACTTTCTTCCGACCATCCCGAACACCAGTTAGCATTGCACGTCGTGGTAATCGGTGTTCGGGCATACGTAACACGTGGCCTGCAAGCATTTGAGCAGGATATCAAAATGAGGGTCCCTAGATTATAACCCTAAATGGAGTGGTCGACTAGAGGTATCGACTGTTATTAATTTGCTTGAACTACTGAACTCTAGTCTAGTAGCAGTCTTTACTACATCTATGCCACTGTGCGTACCATGGAGTGCACAGGTCCTTGAGTTGTGTATTTCATACATTCATTCAACATAAACTTGGAAAATTCTGTTGTGGTCTGGGGAAATAACAATGTATTGGTAATTCTACTCGAGAAACTTTATTTTTTTCTCTTGTTAAGCTACTAAGTTTTTCAATCTTGTCGGACGGAGCTCCATATCTCTGTATCTGTCTGGGGTTATTCACTATTGCATATCCACGACCACACATGTATTTGGACCCACGGTATTTAGTCCATGAGACTAACAATTAGCCTTTAGACTACTGAACTGGCATTCAATAGTTTACACTTGTCACTAAAGTCATTCCGAGATAACGCAAAACATTTTTCAATGCCTCTGATGGCTAACTGCTCATACCTCGGTGGGGTCATAGAGAATTGCTGACAAGTAGTCTCATACTAAGACAATCAAGCTTACAGTTGTTGCCAGTCTTAAGTCTTTATGTAAATAACGTCAGCCCATAGTGTTAACTATAAAACTCAACAATATCCATAAATCTACTGAAATACAACTATCCTAGGCCTAATTTTTTAAAACTTCTCTCGATTCCGATTATAAACTGAATAAATTCGTCTTCCACTTTCATATGTATTAGGTATTTCCTCCTAACTTTCGTGAACCTGGTCCACCACCATTAGAATTATTTGACTTAGACGAACAATTTTCTACACCCAAAGCACGTTTAGCCCAGGTAACAAATAAATGTAAGTTTATAAATAATTTTTACAGATTGGAAAAAGTACATAAGTCAGCAATAACAACACCTTTATTGACAAAATTTACTCAAAATGGTTTAATAATTAAATCACTATTTTGTGTAAGGTCGGTTTTCATACAACAATGTATGAAATATTAAACTGAAATCAATTTTATTTTAATGGTTGCCTATTGGTAAACTTAATGATGATTCTACTATAGAGTGATTTCATCCGAATTTCTTGGAATCACATGAGATAAGCCTTAAGTGCAAGGAAGTTTCATTGACAACAAGGGTAGTACAAAGTTTTTTTTTAACGTTGTTTAAAAATCAAGTTGTGTATAATCAAGACATATGTAATATTTTTATATTTGCGACCATAATGCAACAAAGGAAATCACTATTAATTTTGTATCCATTAACAGAAAAAAAGTTGCTTTGGAGTTTTTTTCTCAACTAATGTGAAAACAAATCTGTTATTTTATCGGCGTAAATATTCCAGACATATTAAGACTACCTCTGTATCTTTGTCAGACGGTTTCATTTAAAGGTATTGATTGTTCTAAATAGTTTACGTTGTTTTTTATCATCTTTCATAAGCGACTATTATGATGTTTAAGTCCCGGATTGGACACCAAATCTGAGATGCAAATATATCTAGCTGATGAGTCGCAAATGGGGTAAAACACACATCCTGGATCATGCCCACAGCCGTCATCCATCTGTTTATAATTTATATCTAATTTACTTAACTAAGTAAATTGTTATTATATATATATATATATATATATATATATATATATATATATATATATATATATATATATATATATATATATATATATATATATATATAATTATTATTATGCTCATTTCAATCTCTACTGGTTTTCATAATGCTTAGGTAACGACGACGACCTAGAATATTATATTCGTGAATGCGGTGATATTTTAGGTGTATCACAGAAATTATCAACAGACAAAATGACATCACGTATTATTTTAGAAGTTATATTTAATGAACTAGTAGAGTTTAAAAAGTTTAATCAGGTAAGTAATTATTTCATATATATATGGTGTATGCTACTTATGTTTATAGATATAAGGAGTATGTAACACCAATCAAAAGCAGGATGCATATTATTATTATAAATATTTTGACTGTACTTTGTATTTAAAATTAATGAAGAAAAGCATCGTGCATGAGTTCTTCGAATGCTTGAAACAAAATTATCATGATATGATTAAGAAAACCACTATAGAATTTGAGAAAAGCTTGAGATCTCATCAGTTAAATCAAAAAATGACATAATTTTAGTTAAATATATAAGTGCACTCATCACTCTATGATATGTTATCGAAAAAAAAGATCTTGGACTAAAATAGGTCAGTAATTAGTTGTAATATTGCAAATCCATAAATTCTTAGTACACATTTATAAAGTGGTTGTATTCGGCAAGTGTTATGAAATCTTCGCATATTATATCGTTGATATATAATATTGGTATGAACAGTACTGGAATACTCTTACTGTTAATCACGTGAAAATTCACAAGGACACCAAATCTTTATAAAGATACATTTAGCTTTTGAAACCCGAGTATAATTTCCGAATATTTAAGGACAGATATCACTTTTAATCAAGTTTGTACACGACTTTAAATAATCATTGTTTAATCAGCTGATAGTCAGTGTGCACAGATAATTATTAACAAGTGTTTTAAATTATTCAGATTATTTATATACAATTCATGATCATAGCTAGCTTCATTAATTTGAATAACACTATAGCAACGGTTTAGGGAGAATAATATAAGTTTATTTCTATTTTGTCGTTTCCCACTAGCTCCCCCCAACTGTCTCCTCAATTACGTATTACATAGTATTGAATATTTAACATTGGTAATTGCCAATGTAAATTCATAATTCTGACTAAAATCGTATCTAACTATACATCATTTCACTGGTGTATAATTTTCCTTCATTCGGTTCCTAAGCTTATGGAAACTCTTCAAATCTGTAGTCATTAAACAATCCATTTTAATGAAGTTCCGAATTCTGGATAGTTACTGCTATAGATATAGTACTGATACTTATTGTCACTTCGATTTTTTCAGTCACCAATGTTTGTCATTTAATAGAATGTTATCTTCAAATATGAATACAGTTGGAAAAAACCTAGTGCAAACCACGAAATAAAGATGAATTAATATTATTCTATTACAACTATTTTCTGTATTTTATTTATGTCAATACATTTGTGAAGAAAATTCAACAATCATTGATCCTATTGTGTTTTATTTTTTCAAAGGGACTTGATGAAGCTGGTGACTGATTGATGATTGAGCACTGTCAATCATCATCCGTATCAATGAAACAAGCGTCAGCATTTTATTAGTTTTCATAAAATTAGGATGAATTGGATAAACATGTGTTTATAAATATACTACTATCCATGTACCTGTATAATGATAATAAAACTTTCTTTAAATAATTGAGTTATCTCCAAGCCCCTGAAACAGATATAGGCAGTTCTCTCAGGAGATACCTCCTCCTTTTGAAACATTTAATTCAGAGGTTCAACCCTTAGGGAGTGGAGCAATGTTATGAGTTGTAGTCCTATAGTGTTTGGTAACCGGTGTAGGTCCTCAGTTTATCGATCTAGCACAAGTCAGTTTAGCAAAATATGAAAAATTGTGCCTACACTCAATTTAGGTCATGTGTTGTAATGCCGCGAAGCCTACTGGTTAAGTTGATCAAGAGTACTGAAAAAAACCAAGATGAGCAATCTTTAGAAATAGAAATTTAAAGTGCGACACGACCTTATTGGCCACCAATACAGATAATTTGCTGATAATACGATCTATTGTTCGATTTATTTACATAATACTATCGTCTGACTAGGGAAACCATGAAAATATAAGCTATATTATGTAGGAGCCTGTTTCGGCTAAATAAACTACGTTAACGCCCAATGTGCGTTTTTGATCAGTCGTAATAACTAGATAGTAGATATATGATCAATGACCTTGGTCTGGTTTTTTCAATCTTGTTTAATCTTTTGGCTATTCAGAATAGTTCTAGTAAGCATCTAGCAGAGTTTAATCTTTTTTGTACATGTATTGACTCCATCACTCTGAAAGACAAATTCTATCTTTTGTTATTCGGTCAATACCAGTCGTACTTGGATCAAATTGTCTAAACACAAATATACTTTAAAACCTTTGGAAGTATAACTCGGAAACCTTAAAAAAATATATCAACTGATTCTATATTTCTTGTCAATAAGAATATCATGTAAATAGAATTATAGCGTGGCGTCGAGTTGAGATTAACTATGAACGCCGCTACCAAGAAACACGTGCCAAGCGAATCAGAAGGCGTAAGAAGCTCGTTCCAAATGACTCCATAAAATCCCCGAGAAGCCGAATATCAGAAGGCAATTAATGGATCAAGTCGATGTTTATTTGCTGGCGATCTCGTGGCATCGAAAGGATACCGAGATCGTGCCAGGATACAAGTTTGGTTACAGAACGTAACCGAATCCGCGCGAAGTTACAATCAAAGTGTAAGTAAAAGAATGGAAGCACAAAATAGCTGTCATTAGCACAGTCAAACGAAAGCACGTTAAAACAAACACTGGTACAGTTGGTTATAATAATAATTGTTTTTATTAAACCAGTCGCGTTCTCGTGATAAACGGGAGTCACTACAGAGTCTTAACATGCATGTACAAACGAGACCTTGATCCTATTCGTTATTGGTTTACAATTTGTTTTCTAAACTGAAAATTACGTTAGTCCTTTTGAAGTATATAAACTAATCAACTTGTACGTATTCTAAGAGAAACAGTGAATTTATCGTATCCTGTATGTACTGTCACTCTTTCTTTGGCTTATTAAAAGTCACATAACATAACTTGCTGTATAGTACATAAAACGTTTAAAATTACAAAGAGGAATTCTTTTTGTCATCATACAGTAATAATTATGGTGTTAGGCATATCGGATTCTCAATCATTTTCATGCAGATTGTATATAACATAGATTCACAGCGTCTATCTCAACGGCGAAACACCAACCAGGGACAGTTTAAAGACTCCTAGAGAACTACTTGAGTCTTTGCACCAGTTCAAGAAGACATCTGTTATGTATACATGCTAACGAATTAACATACTGTTATTTCTTTTAATCAAATGATGGAGGAACCTAAAATTGTGTTGTAATTCATAATGGTTATTTTGTAGGTTACTGAGCTATCAACTGGAGTTACAATACAATAACTTCAAGTTCATACAGTTTTATCTCTGACTCTAGTACTGGTCCATTCGTGTTTCTTAGGGTAGGCAATGGACAGATCTATAAATTAATAATTGGTAATATTATATTTAGTCACATTTTTATTTATCGTGGGGAAACTTCATTTAATACAGTATTCCTCTAAAATATGTGTTGTTTTACATTACCATTGCTTTTGCCTTAAAATATTCATCTAGCACAACTATTTTCTGATAGGTAACAATAGGCTAATACTCATTGGGGTTATTTTAAGAATCACCAAAGCTTGCCGATATACTACACTTTTGAAAATATGTGGGGCAAGACCATATCTCGCTCACTAACTTGATTACACTTCACTCCATGCGACATCTTATGATGATTAGAAGTATTCGAATCCTTGTATTAAATAGGAATTTTCGAAATAGTGCTATTTAAAGCAGAATAGAACTAGGTGAGCACAAACGAATGCTCTGTATCTAAAAATTCGAAATCAACCAGAAATCAAATACAAAACAATCGTTACTTTATACGAACACTACACATTTCCACTTATTTTTTCTCTGTATTTATTATCTACATAATCGTAATTATCTTCCATTTATTTATATTCCGCTTTCACTCGTAATCTTTACTTCGTTCTTCTACTTCTCTTACTGTTAGCTGAATATGGTCAGACATATGAATATCCAGTGGTGTCTCGGTAGCCAGTCACAGTAAATATGTTGCCTAGTTATAAGCTCATTCACTCTCACTTGATAGAGATGAACCAGTGACAATTACTAAATGTTCCAGAACTATCGTAGCTGACTGGCTGGATCAAAGTCATTGAACGCCACCTATTATATGTGTGGAAAGTGACTGGTTCATAACCTCTATCATAAAAGCATTGGATATCAAACACCTATTCGGGTACCGATGAAAGTGAATCTCGATATCAAGAGAAACGAAAACATCTATAATTTAGTCTAGAACAGGCATGAAGCAAGATGTATTCGTGAAGTGAATGTGCCGAACGCTTGCTTTTGTGATTAAATTGGAAGAAAAAGTGTGGTGAACAGACCTTGTGAGAAGATGAACTTAGATCGTCACTATTGAAAGACAACTCCATAAAAGCTGGGGTAGTTTCGGACTATTTTGGAAAATATAAAAACATTGGCCACACAGTTACAGCTACATCCTATTAATTGTATTCTAAATATTGTTAGCAAATAAGAATTCTACGTATCTGGAATACTAATTAGATTTGAAATAAAGAAACCATTAGTATCAAATTAACTCCATCTTAGGTTACTAAGGGGACTCGTTCTTTCCATCACAGATCCTTAAGATATGTAGTTAAACCTGTAGTGACTCCCGTTTATCACGAGAACACGACTGGTTTAATAAAAACAATTATTATTATAACCAACTGTACCAGTGTTTGTTTTAACGTGCTTTCGTTTGACTGTGCTAATTATAGCCATTTTGTGCTTCCATTACATTCCATGATTGTTTCGCGGTTTTTGGTACTGTTCGCACGTACTCCTGTCTTCTGCTTTCACTTGTACCATTTCTTGGCAGGATCTCGGTATTCGTTCAATACCACGAGATCGCCAACGAAATAAATCTGGTTACGTTCGATCCTCGCCTTCTGATTTATCTGGCAAGTGTTTCTTGGTAGCGGTGTTCACAGTTAATCTCAACTCGACGCCACGCTAGAATTGGTGAGCCCAAAGTTTGGAACACGCCTCAACTTTTGGTCAAATCTTCCAAAGAAGCCAATTCGGTGAG